ACAGCACCTACCCTGTGACGAGAATTTCGGTCGACTGCCGGCTAAAACTGACCTACAGAACCCACCGAACAGCTCGTTTCTAACGCACGTTAGCGGATGCTCCGCCTTGGGTAGAAATCACTTGTATTTGTGACTTTTCCACTGCTCGCAGTTATATTTTATATGGTCTTGCCTATTTTGTTAAACAAAACACAGTCTCTCAGTCGCAATACTTTGTGTACTGGGGTCACTCACGGTGTGGCAGATACTGAGGCAGAAAAATGAGTAGTTGCGATGAAAGAGGAGGAGGAGAAGGCAAGAAAGGGACGGTTTGATAATCGATTCTGTGTTCCAGGAAGTGGTGTGCGCAGGGGGCGGTGACTTGCACCTGACTGAGTTTAGTTATAGTAGACTTGCGAAGCGTCTATCACACTCTTTCCTCCTCCTTCCCCACCCGCCTGATCCTGACAGAGTCAACAAGATCGGAGGCGAGATCGGACGCAGGTGGCCGGCACAAGGGAAACTGCGTCTAGGCGTACCACCGCATCCTCTGGTTCGCGCACAGACAACCAGGATTTCCCACAAAAAGAAAAGAGAGGCGGCTCGTATCCCACTGAGTGGGAGTGCCCTAAAGACATCTCTAAGAAGGAGCCATTCCAGAGTGACCTTCAATCAATTAATAGATAGCCTAATCCGAGGAGATTTGTGGTGAGGGGTGGGGGTCGCCAGTGTTGTTTTACAGCAGATTTTTCTTGGATGCTCATGTGACCGAGTAGTACGATCTCGTGACTAAATGTGCATGGTTAGTGTGGACAGTTGAGGCAGGTGCGGCGAGCGTATGTCAGGGCTTCTGGTACTGGTTCAATGGCCTCGGTGTGGCGGATTTGTAAGTGACCAACTAGGCCGACGCGTAAGGTCAAAGCACAATCGTAATGAGGACAGGTTAGGGACAAGAGCACACAGCTGATAGTGGGGGCAGTGGCGATGAGGATAGTGGGTGGCTGGGTGTACTGAGTGTTGGGGTTGGAGAGGTGGAATTTGTCGTTGTTGCGGGGTCTGTGGTAGGGATAATGGAGGCGGTGAAGGTGGGTGAAGTCGACGGCGGGCCATTCGGAGGGCAAGTACCACTTACGGGGGTGTTTATGAACGCCGTCGAGGGGATTGGTGTCGGGGTGACAATGGGGACGTTTGTGGAGACAGCACAGGTACGTATACTATCTAAAAGCCCAGACGTGTT